GAGAGAGAGAGAGAGAGAGAGAGAGAGAGAGAGAGAGAGAGAGAGAGAGAGAGAGAGAGAGAGAGAGAGAGAGAGAGAATCTGATAGTTGTCGTTGTGACCTTGTGAATATAGATTTTGTTCTCCTTATTGTGTACTTTGGCTTTTATCTGCTTCGGATTGTGTGCTCCGTCTTTTTTTTCTAGGTAATTTGTTTTTTAATTCTATTTTTTGTTAATGTGGGTTTGATCCACTGCAGGTAGTGTGTTGTGGGTTTTATCGATTGCGGATTGTGTAGTTTTGTCTCCGTTGACATTGACTCTCCTTGAGCTGCTCTTTTTTTTTTCACCTGCAATTTGTGTGTATGGGATGTTTATTTCTTTGGGTTGCATTTTCCCCGTTTCCCATTTGGACGAGGGATCACTGCCAGCACTGCATTTGTAAAGAAGATTCCATGCGTCTGTTTCGATCTTCGGTATCGAAATGAATGAATGATGGTATTGGTAACGCAGGCTGGGCTCGCACGAGTTCATTTCTGCAAGAGCATGCAGTTCTAGTTTTTCTCTTGATTACTATTGGAATTTGGGATAGTGAGACAATAATATTGATGTTTATTTTATTTGCCCCCTACGTCTGTACAACAGTCGTGAATGCATGCAGCATGTCTTTTTCGCTTTGTGCGGCGCGCAATTGACTCTAGAGCCGTCTTTGGCATGCCTCTTGTCCTCACTGTGTGGTTGATGGGGTTGATCGAAGCATTGCTGCGTTTTCCTCCCTCTTCCTCACCCTGCGAACAGGCTCCTGTGTTGTTCGACTGGACCATCTACCCTGCCAGGTCCGCATTTGCTCCTTTTTTTTTAACATTTGCACTTGTCTTTTAACATTTGCATTTTACAATAGATGTGGCAGGCCTGATATCAACTACTCCGTGTAAGTCAATGGTTCATGATGTTGTTGAATGCATGGCTGTGTTTTCCTACTTTTTTTTTCATTTTTTCCTCCACCATTGGTGGAGTAATCAATGCTGCTCAGGGGTCCTTCGGCCAAACGGAAGCAAGCGTGCGTTTCTGTTGTAATGTAATGTGTATTCTGACTTGCCGGTGGAATAGGAACCGGACTGACGCTCCCCAGAATAGAAGGAGCCAGGACCACAAGGCTCTGTTTTGAAGAAAAGGAAAAAAAAAAAAACAAAGAAGAAGAGGATGACAGCCTTGAGAGAGAGATCATCACTGAAGCAACCAGCCCCAGGTAATCCAGAATTACTTGGCCTTGAGATATTATCATTGAATGATTGAACCGACCAGCCCCAGGTAATTCCGAATGATTTCCTTCTGCTCATCTGTTTGCATCTGGATTCGAACTTCGCTGTATATTCCAGCAGTTTGTGGGTGTACCAACTGAGTGTGTGGCTGTGTTGAGGTCTTCTCGTCCTGACCCTGCAAAGCAGCCAGTGTCAGACCGTCTACCTGACCAGGGTTGTGCTCTGGCCTCTTGCAGGGGTCATGTCAGGACAGTTCAGGCCGTGAATAGTGTTCATTAATTAGACCGCCACTGCATCCGGAGCTATTTTGACAAACCAAAAGTTGTGTTTCCCGGAGCTCAAGGTCCACAGTGCCGGCCTGAGGAAAAGTAATTGTGGCTCCGAGCCTGGGCACTGTAGATTTTGGCCAGTACTTGTCGACGAGGAAAAATGAACAGTGCAGAGGGCGTGCGAGTGGTGGTCGAGCTGTCGCACCAGCCACGAAGTATAGTCCCCCATTCGTCTGAAAGAAGACGACCCCACACGCAGCATGCACCCTTACAGTGCTGGCGACTACCGTCTTCACCCGAATAGAACGCCCGGTCCTTATAGCTGTATTTGACACAACTTTCGGTCCAGAAGCAGCGATAATGACCGTGCGTTTTATTCGGGTGAAGACGGTAATGTTCCCCGTGGAAGCACCGTGTCAACAATACCCCAAGCTCAAGATCAAGCCTAGCTGCCCTGTAGCCAAGACTCTACCAACCTGCCAAACTCTTCACACATCGACTTCCGCACTGATTTTTGTTGTCAGAGATGGGCCGTCGATCGTCGTATTGCTCCTTCAGGGTTGACGAGATGTACGTGTCCAATCGATTTAACGCAATGTACGTAGTAAAAAAAAAAAAAAAAAAAAAAAAAATTGCTTGCGAGAACATAAGAGTACGAGGAGTACTGATATTTGCGGAATGGCGTTTTCCTTTTTCATCCACACATCCACCACTTGGGGATTTTTTGGACTAAGCTCAACAAGACCGCGCTGCTTGCTTAAACTCCCAGGTATTTTTCTCACATGGGGCATGCATGTGGCCAAGTTTCGGGGGTTGGCGTACCGGAGCAAAATGGCTGGCCGTGCCAACCAGACGAAGGCGCACACCGGTAATGCGCGCAGGGTGTTCCGGGCTCGGTAATGGAAAGGGCCAGAGTACCGGTACCGGTGGTGGTTTAACGAGATTGTAAAATCATTATATGCCTTCGGCAGTAGCTCTGAGGTTTGTTCATAGTGCAGTAGGCGATCACAGGCCAGTGCCCATGGCAATCATGGCCCTCTTGGGCATGAAGTTAATGATTGTTCTCAACTAGCCTGTTGACCTGAAAACAGTGTACAGGGTCTTCCATGCCATCCTATGTGCCTGTGAGCCTATCGCACCATCCCGAATAACTACCCATTGACCTGACACCAGTAGATGGGGTCAATGTTATGTGCCTGATAACATGGGCCTAATATTTTACAGCATTGCTGGGAAGTACCTTCCTTGTACCCATCTGTGGTGCCAAAAAGGAATACTACCAATGGACCATGATCATGCTTTAAAAAATTAGAAAACAATGGACCATCCTGCGGGGCATAGGCTGCTCCTACACTTGCGGCATGACAGTCCAGCAAAAAATAGTAGGACAAACTGTCAACCTGACTTCCGAACAGCTGGATCCCGCGAGGGTTGCATCTGTTGTAACTCACTGGAAGTTTTTTTTTTTGTTTGTTTGTTTGTTTTGGTACGATCTCCTGCACGTAAGTCTTTTTTTTATTATTATTATTATTTATTTATTTTTTTTATTAACCGGGCCCAGTGCCCAAGGCTGATATTACCAATAAGAAGATTGAGGCCGGGGTCCTCACAGTCTGCCCGGAGTAACCGAATCGAACTTGAAGGTCCATATCACGAGTGTTAGTATTCTGGGCTCCATGATTTGCACTGTGTTATCCTTCGATAGAAGCGCATCCATTCTTTGGAGCAAAATACTGACCACGCTTCAGCTTTTCCCCCTTCGATTACCCTCGTATAATGTACGTGGATGGATTGCGCAGCCACAGCTTTCGCGACTCGTTAGCTCACAAAGATCAATCCAAAGGCATGTGTGCCTTCATCATGTATGTGCCCTGGAATTGCATCTTTTCATTGCTTGTACCAAGCAGACACAATCATCCAATGGCCACGACGTGTTGTAGTTAGTCATAAGCAATTTGGCCTTTTAGTTGTCCTCGACAACGTATGTGGATGAATTGCTCAACCATAGTTTTCACAACTCGTTAACCCAGGAACTCGTTGAAATGTATGTATATGTGGATGAATTGCTCAACCACAGTTTTCACAACTCGTTAACCCAGGAACTCGTTGAAATGTATGTATCCCTTCCTATTGTATGTGCCCAGCCATTGCACCTTTTCAACACTTGTACCAACCAGGCACAATTGTCTGATGGCCACGACTACTTGTAGTTGATTCAGGAGGAAGAAGGGCGATGGTCGCTCCCAGTCGTGCGCACCTGCAAGAATGTCCGTTGAGTCTAGGCCAGTCTCACAGGGGTGCTGCTCGTCACTCAACGTTGTAATACCATCATTAATAGTTCATCATCATAAGGGCGCGGTTGGCGAAGTTTGTCATCATAGGGCGCGGCTCATCCCTATCATCATCATCATCATTATCATCATCATCATTAGGTTATCAGCACCATCATCATCATCATCATCATCATCATCATTGCCGACATCATATTCATCATCATCATCATCATCATCATCAGTTCGTAATCATAGGGGCGGGGCTGTTGGTGCCGCCCTTTATGATCAGCTTCATCATTCTGTCTTCATTCTCAATTCTACGATCATCATCATCATCATCATCATCGACTTTTCGTCATTAGATGTTTGCTCTTCAAGGCACTGTTTGCCGTTCACATCAGCAGGTGAGTTGGCCGTCACCATCATCTTCATCATCATCATCTTTAGGGTGCTGTTTGTCGTCATAAAAAAAAATAAAAAAAAATTCATCTATCTTTTCTCCATCATAACTTTCAGAAACTTCCGATTCTTTCATTCACATCTTAGGAATCCTATTTCCTAAACATCTAGTTTGCTATTTCTGTCTTGGTTTGCCTCTCGAGGAGGATGTAGGAATAGGAGTTATCTGGCAAGTCATTTGTGATCCTGCGAAGGGTGGTTGAAAATTTGGTGGCCCTCGAAGACCGATGCGGGAGCAACGCTGGCCGGAGCCGGAGCCAGGCGGCGCAACTCTGTGACCCAGCCTAGTGGGGGCGTGAGGTCTGGTAGAGAGCTCTGGGGGGCTGTTTGCGGGGGCAGTCTCAGTGGTCATCGGGGGTCGTAACTGGAGCAATGCTGGCCGGTGTTGGAGCAAGGTGGTGCAACTCTGTAACCTAACCTGATGGGAGCATGAGGCCTGGAAGAGCTTCGGTTCGTGTTGAAAACATCCATGTTGGTGGTGGTCGTGGGTGGATTGAATAGGTTTCTCCTATCTGATTTGTGGTTGCGAGGCGTTTTGACACACATATTCTAGTGACCATCCAGTTTACTATTTCTTTCCTTTTGGTTTGCCTCTCGAGGAGGAGTTAGGAATAGGTGTTATCTGGCAAGTCATCTGTGATCCTGCAAAGGGTGGTTGGAAATTCGGTGGCCCTCGAAGACCGATGCTGGAGCAACGCCGGAGCCGTAGCCAGGTGGCGCAACTCTGTGACCCAGCTTAGTGGGGGCGTGAGGCCTGGTAGAGAGCTCTGGGGGGCTGTTTGCGGGGGCAGTCTCGGTGGTCATCAGGGGTCGTAACTGGAGCAAGGCTGGCCGGTGATGGAGCAAGGTGGTGCAACTCTGTAACCTAACCTGATGGGAGCATGAGGCCTGGAAGAGCTTCCGTTCGTGCTGAAAACAGCCATGTTGGTGGTGGTCGTAGGTGGACTGAATAGGTTTCACCTATCTGATTTGTGGTTGGGAGGTTTTTTGACACACATTCTAGTGACTTGGTAGAGTCTGAATAGTGGAAAATAGGTTGGTTGTTCTTATGAATGTCTTAGGACTCTAGGGACTCTTAGCAACCCATCTTAGGCGGTTTTGAAGCTGTTATTCTCAGTGATCTGCGGCTGTTCGATGCCAGAACGACGCTGGCCGGTGCTGGGGTGTTGCCCTGTACCCTGCTGATGCAGGAGCGCGAGGCCTGATAGAGAGATCTGGGGATGCTTTGGGGTGGGCATCCTAAGGGACAGCCAAGGTTTGCTGCTGGGATGACGCTGGTCGGAGCTGGGGTGAGTTGTATTGCCCTGTAACCCAGCAGGGTGGGGCGTAAGGCCTGGAAGAGCTCAGCAGGCAGTAAGACTGTGTTGGAAAGTCTTAGAAGGGCTTGTTAGGGATCCTCAGGGTTCTGAACATTCGTAGGACCTCTGCGGCAGCCTATTGCATGAGTAGTTCCTTAATAGGTCATTAGATGTTCATGATATTCCCCATGCTTTCTGAATCATATCGTGTTCATCGACTGTTCCTACCCGAGGCCGGGTATTGGCTCCGGTATCTCAAACGATCTCAAATGTTCTCAATGATCTGTACAGTTTGATATGGGATGCTGGCCCGGTTCCCAGCACGTGCTGCTCCCCACG